TCCTTGGAGTCAAGGATTCTGAAGCTTCGTCTGACATACTTTGGGCATGTTGCAAGGAGGGATTGGTCCTTGGAGAGGGACATTATGCTTGGGAGAGTGGAGGGACGGCGCAAGAGAGGAAGACCCTCAATGAGATGGATCGATTCTGTGAGTGGAGTGGTGAGAATGAGTGTGTTTGAGTTGGCGAAGTTGGCATAGGATAGAAGGGCTCTTGTACATAGGGTCGCTATGAGTCGCAAGTGACTCAGTGGCACATAACAACACAATGAATGCCACTTCATAATGGTAAAAATAATCCCTGAACAAAAACTATCCCCTGCAGTCTTTTTTAAACCAAGCAATAATTTAGCTTAATGTATAAAACATGCCAATATTGATCACTGTCCTCTTTTAAAATCTATATAGAATCAGTATGACAACAGGAATTCGAAAGTTCAGATAAGACACTTGATGGGGGGATGAACTTAAGTTACTGGGGAGGAACAACTCACACCAGGAGAATGAGGACAGCTGCCCAGCTCAGAGAGTGTTGTCTGTGTCACCAATGGCACACGGGCACATTAGTGAGCTGCTCCTGTGTGTTTTGCTACATGTCTTTTCAGTAACAAAAATTGACTTAGAAAGGTAGTAGAAATGGCAGATATGTTCTATGTATTCTGTCATGCACACAAATAAAACTACAATGAAAAAACAGAGTTGTTGACCTCCGGCAGATATTAAAAATATGAAAAGGCTTCAATGACAATGGTTTTAAGGACAAACATAGAAGCAAAATTTGTTCTCTGCTGTCAAGGCAAAACTGACTCAGAGCTGATCCTCCATTGGGTTTTCAGAGGCTTTAAAATCACATGAGAGGAGATTGCCCATCTTTCTCCCAGACAGCAGCTGGTGGATTTGAACCTGTTGCCTTTGGGTTAGCAGTGCAGCGCCTTACCTACTACTAGAGCTCCCAAGAAGCAAACACTAACAGCAGCTAATTCATCTGAAAACTGTTATTTCTGCAAACCTGCCCCAGCCTCAGCCACAGCCCTCAACTGAAGGCCCGAGATGCCAACCCCCATTCTCCATACGCACCCTAATCTGTGAGGCACCAGGAGGGCTGGGCCCTGTTCCCAATTCTGACTGGAAGGAGAGTGCATTATCATGCAGGATCCAATGCCAATTCTATCCCTACTTCAAATTGATAAAAAGCATTCAGTTACCACAAGGTCCTGCTCTGCTTAGCTCATTAAGTAACAACTCAGTGCTGTTGTTATTGCTGTTGGGTGCCTTGAAGGCAGCTTGTAATGACCCCATGTACAACAGAGCAAAGTACAGTCCAGGCCAGCACACCTCATAGTTTCTGCTGTGCTTGGGCCCATTGTTGCAGACAATGTGTCTGTCTCAGTAAGGCTTTCCTTTCCCCCTGACTCTCACCCCTAGCGTGATGTCTTTGTCAAGGTACTGGTCCCTCCTGATAACAGCCTCACTCATGTTGTCCTGAAGGTTTATGCCACAGTTGATACCAAGCAGTACACCCAAACCTGCTTTTCTGCCTTACCTGCTTGAAACGATCTCTGCTCCATGAGCGTTTGCAAGACTAAGAAGAATGAGGATATGCCAGCATGGTGAGTTTGGCAGAGGATGTTCTTAAGCATTGACCATGACATAAGGGTGATTGTACGGTCAGGTCCAACTCAGACAGAAAGAATCAATCATTACTCCACCAATTTTGAGTTCTATCTGGAGTTCCACATTGACTAGGGGTCCATCCATTAAACTTTCAAGGGAAAGGTGGGCCGTGTCCTTTTCTTCCTCTTTGCCTAATTTCTTCTCCTGAAATCATGGAGGAAGTGCAGCCAGCCTGCTCCTTAGAGACATGGATGGGGACACTTTGCCGCCCACACTTAGGGCATGTTCTCAGGAGAGGCCACTCCTTGAAAAAAGATATCATGCTGGGAAAGGCCAGTGAAAGAGTGGAAGATCCTCAAGAAGACGGATCGACACAGTGACTATGACAATATAACCACATCAGAGATCATGGAGTTGGCTAGGATGGGCCAAGTTCAGATCTGTTGTTCATAGGATTGCTAGGAGTTGTAGTCGATTCAATGATACTGAACAACAACAGCAAATATGTTATTTCCTCAAAAGGGTAATCCACCACTTCCTGTGAAAGGTGTGGCTGGCTGCTTCCGTAAATCCTATGGGGCAGTTCTACTCTGTCCTACAGGGTTGCTATAAGTTAGATTTGACTCAGAGGTAGTGCTTTTTTGCTTGTTCTTAACCAAGAACTAGTTCTTATAAGAAACGTCATTTTTATTTCCCCTTTTGCTGGTTACTCTCTGTCTGACTCTCTCAAGGCTCAGGAGCCCACAGATCATGTCACTTGGACTTCCCCAGCTCGGTTTGGTTTCTTGTTGCATTTGGCCTGCGGGGAGAGAGAGAGGAGAGAGGGGAGGTGCTCCCACTCTGCCCCTCCCTCTCTTACCGCCTCCTCAATCTAATTGGTTTCCTCAGCCTGTCCCATGCCTTGTGATAGCCTTCATCAGGGTCTCTTTCTTTGAATCAACTGGAATCTTCTGGGACATTAGTTTGGTTCCTGCTCCATCCAGCCTTTAAAGGGAGTGCTAGTGAGGAAGGAGGGAGCTCTGGTAGCCTAGAGGCAACTTTGAGAACTGGGAAATCAAACAGGGCATATGGCTCACTTTCTTGCACTAGGCTCTTGAGTAAGGCTGTCTGGAACCATCCACGCCTGGATATTCCTTAAGCAAATGAAACTCACCGAGTTCAGCAGAGGAAACCACTTTGGACAACATGGACCGGAGAACAGACAGCGGCATAATGGAGAAAATGAATAGCAGCCGGACTGTAAGAGAAATGTTTAGAAATTGTTGGCTATATAAATAAGAAAATTGATGGAGAGTCAATTTAAAATATTGAATCGTTGTCAAGTATTTAATCTATCAACATCCTTGGAAGCTCCGGTGGCTTAGTGGCAAGAAGTTGCACTACAATCCCAAAGGCACATGGTTGAATTCACCAGCTGCTCCGTGGAAGGATAGACAATCTCCTCCCATGTGATTGACTGCATCTGGAAACCTGCCGGAAGTTCAGCTATGGGTCGGTTTTGACTCGATGGAGCGGAGCACAACCACCACCACCATCCTAACACAGTACATCTAAAGACGAAATTAACATGTTGCTGCAAATAACGGCAAAATGTGTTTCTAAGCACGGTCGTCAATTTAAAAGTGTGCAGCAACGTATCTTAATTATTTGTGGGCATCTATTTAACAGATTACAGTAGACCATGAGGCGAGCCAGTTTAAGATTAGGTCACTCTAGAATACTTATTTTAAGGCTGCTATCAATCAACAGTTTGTCTGAGTAAGTGCTATGCTAGGTCCAGGTCTATACAACTGACCAACTGGTCCTGATCTGCTTTTCCCCCCTAACTATAGTTGTTGCTGTAGTGTGCTGTGGCGTGGGAACCGGCCCATTGCTGACCCTCCAGCAGGTTTTCAGAAGCAGTTAATCACAGGGAAGGAGATTGAACATCCTTCTGCTGTGAAGCTGCTGGTGGGTTTGAACCCTGTGCTTTTGGGATTGCAGCACAGCTTCTTGCCACCATAGCTCTAACTATGGTGATAACCTTTGTTTAGCAGCTTGTGATTGTGTATTGGTTCTTTGTTGGTTGGCTTTTGGCTTTTGCTCTTTCCACACTTGGCATTTTCAGTGTTAGTATTTCTTTGTTGCATTGATTCCTTTCTTGGTAAACCAGTTCTACATCACCATCCTTGCCAATCTTTGTGGCTGGACAGCTTCATGAAGAAACTTGCACCTGGCCTGAAATTATGACTCAACAGTCAGTAAAGGCTCTGATGGTGGTGAAGAGTTTAAATATTTGGCTATTATCAAAAGATTTTATATTAAGTTTGAAACTACTAGCTGCCCTAGAGGAGAAAGATTTGGTGACCTAGAAAGACCTTTAACCCCAAACCCACTGCTTTAGGTGGTCTCTAAGTCATTGCAGCCCCTCCTCAGGTTTCTAGTGCTGTAAGTCCTGGTGGGTGGAGATAGCTTTGTTTTTGTCCAAATGGCTTTGAACTGCCAACCTTTGTATTAGCAGCTCAAGACGTAACACACTAGACTAAACAGGGCTCTATCTGTGAAGATTACAGCCTTAGAAATCCTACGGGGCAGTTCTACTCCGTCCTATAAGGTCACAATGAGCCAGAACAGATTCAATGGCAATGGGTTTTATGATTTTGGTGAGTGATACATGTGTAAGTGCTAAGTGAATATTGGCAATTTGAAGTCACATTTCTGTTCCACAGAACAAAGACTTGGTGATTTGCTTCCTGATAAATTCCAGCCTAGAAAATACTATGGGACAGTTCCATTCTGTCACCCACAATCACCACGAGTTGAAAATAGACTCATTGTAGCCTAACAACCACTATAGCAGCCAGTGGCATTTTCAGTTATATGATAAAATAACATTATATTACGTTGGCCTTTAAAGTTTTCCAAGTATTTCCACAAATATTTACTTGGTATTGGCAGTCCTACGGGAGACAGGAGGGAGAACTTGCATTTATCGAAAACTAGACACTGTGCTAATTGTGTCTACTATTCATTTCTACCCTCTGAATTGGGTTTTGCCATGCTAATGACATAGTGTGTATTGTGTTGAGCTGCTCATCAAAAGGTCAGAGGTTCCCACTCTCCACTCCATGGGAGAAAGATGGGCATTCCCTTCTGTAAAGAATTCATCTCAGAACCCCAGTGTAGGGTCACTATGAGTCACACTAGACTCAAGGGCAGTGAGTGGCTCTGGTAGCTTAGTGGCAAGAAGCTGCACTGCAATCCTGAAGGCATGCAGTTCAAGGGCACTAGCTACCCCATGGGAGAAGTATGGGTGATCTCCTGTGTGATTAACTGTGTCTGAAAACCCACTGGAGGGTCAGCTATGAGTCAGTTCCAACTCAATGGTATATAACAACAACAACAATGCCCATTTTACAGATGAGAAAAAGACTCAGTAACTTGTCCTGAGAGCAAGCCCTCAAATTCTGTTTGTTCATTCTGCTTTTCTTCAAAAACACTCTTCACCTTTTCCCTAAGGAACAGGTGGTAAAAAAACTAAACTCATCGTTCCCAGGGTCCCAGTGGGATCGTTCCCACTGAAGAGCTCCGTTTAAGCTCAGGTTACCTCACTACTGTTGAGCCAATTTCAGTACAAAGTGCTGCTATGGGACCAAGTATGACTTTACTAGGGTTCACGCTGTGTCTTGATGGAAGCAGATGGCCTCATTTCCCCCCCTGCAGACTAGTAGGTTCAAACCACCAACCCCTTGGTCAGCAGCCCAAACCTTGCAAATGCTTTTTCATAATAATCTTAAAAAAACATTCAAGGTGATACGATGGTTGAGAGACCAGGCACGTTTATGAAAAGGTAGTTCATTAAAAAAGGCAATTCATGGAACTACCAATTTGCTGAATGATCAACTTTGTAAAACTTTGCTTCAAAGAATTTTCTTAAAGAATTTTCTTCTTGAATATATTTAACACATGTCATTTCCCCACTCCTCCTTGTTGCCATGTCAAGATAAACGAGTCCTGAATAAGGACTAGTGCGCAAAAATGAAACAAAATTCCTATAGCCAGAGCTGCAGCTTTGCCATCAGATGCACAAAGATGCACTTTTTGCAAAATACCATTTTATTTTGTATTGAAAATGCAGCTTTTAGATGGGCACAGTGCCTAACACACAGAACACTTTTTATGCTATCAGGAGGGCTTCTGGGCAACAGTCGACTCTTAGTTAAATTTGGGGAGAGTATAAAGTGATATGGAGGGAGCTCTGGTGGCCTAGTGGCAAGAAGCTGCACTGCAATCTGGAAGATACGCAGTTCAAATCCACCAGACGCTCTGCTGGAGATCTCCTCCTGGACCAGTCGAATCCGATCCGATGGTACACACATGCACAAAAACAATATAATAAATAAAATAAAGTGATATGGAGCTTTGTGACGGCACCGGGTGGTCAGGTTCCCCTTACCTCGTGTTGTTCAAAGGTCAATTGTATTAAAGTTTTCTAACCGATTACATTCAGAATACACTTTTTTTAAAAAAACAAAACAAAAAAAACAAAAACACCCCACTCACCTGACAGCATCATCACCGTCGTTCTGGAAAAAGCAACCAACGCCATTCCACTCAACGTGGTAAACAGGCCAATGAAGGCCATGTGAATATCCTCCATACAGTACGAAAAAATCCAGATTCCCAAGAAACTCGTCACGAAAGAGACGCTGCCCAGCGCCGAGCCGTAGCCAATAAACACCTCATCCCAGCACAGCGGAGCGTCCAGCTCGTAAAGGATGAAAATCGGGGAAATGCCGATTAAGACGACATAATAAGCAATCATGCTGAAAAGCAACAGGCAGAGCAGGGCCCCGCGGCGGCCAGCGGCGTTTTTGAAGAGCAGGTAGGTTCTGAGAAGGAGGCTCTTAAAGGCTTCGGCGCACGATTCCAAAACCTCCCTAGATTGCATCTCTGTGGTGGGTGTGCCCAGGAAAAACAAGATGTAGATCAAGTTAACAGCGATGACCAGAGTGATGATCAGAAACGACCACAGGAAACCTAGCTCTCGGATGAAGTAGCCAGAGGACAGGCCGGTGAGCCCGGTGATGAGGCCCAGCAGGAGGTCCACCACGGCGATGCGCACCGTCTTCTCTTTGTCTTCCTTACACTGGTCCACGATGTAGGCGAAGCTGGCCCCCCAGAAGGTGGTGTAGTTGCCGCAGAGGGCGCCGAGGAAGCTGGACGCCAGCAGGAGCTGGAACGGCAGGGCCAAGTAGACCACCAGGCACAGCCACACGCTGGTGGCCAGCGAGCCCACACAGGACAAGACCATTGGCAGCTTCCTTCCGTAGTGGTCACTGTGAGACAGCAGGATGAAGGTGGACACTATCCCAGGGATCAAGCCACATAGATCCACCTGCAGGCCAAAGAGAGACGCTTTCTTCTGCACTTCCTGCAAAGACAGAGACAGAGAGGTCCGGCTTTGCAGATGCTGACTGCAGCATGCAGGACGACCAACTTGGCTCTTCTTGGTAGGTCGTGTCTGGGAGTTCTGGAATCTGTGTCAGAGCCCTGGCAGTACAGTGATTAATGTGCTCTGGTGCTAACCAGAAAGTCGGATTTCGTACCCACCAGCTACTCAATGGAAGAAAAATATGGCAGCCTGCTTCTGTTTAAAAACAAAAAATAGCCCTGCACGCTATGAGTCAAAATTGGCTCATGGGTTTGGTTTGAGGATTGTCATGTTATTAACTCTTGTTTTAGGACAAATAAATAGGGTATCACATTAAGAAGTCCAACACAACAGTGTCATGTGCTCAGTCTTCTTAAAAACAATTGCTGGCTGAGGGAAGTGGCAGGAAAAAAATCATGTTAATTTGGGGGGTTAGTTTCTGGGATAGTTTACAAAATCTCACATTCTTCTGAGTGAGCACGTGGTGGAAGCCCACAGCCGACCTCATTTTATGGTATTTACTTCACAGACACTGTGAAATTGAAGGTTTCTGGTAACCCTGCCACAGGCATATGTGGGTTACACATACTGTGTTTGCACGTAGTGTCCCTGGCAACATTTCCAACGTTTTCAGAGATTGCAGCGTAAACCTCCCTTCTGGTGGCCTAGTCTGTAGGGTGTGGTGATGCTAACTCAAAGGCCTCACCTCTGGAGGTTTGAATCCACCAGGGACTCCATTGGGAGGGTCAGCTAGGACTTGGTTCCAACTCCATAGCAATGAGTTGGAGTTTGTTGTTGTTTTAATGAAACAAAGTACCGAATCGTGCCTTACTGTGGAGGCCTGGACTCGAAATTGGGCTATGTCTGAGCCCCACCTGTCCTAGAGGAAGGGGCTCAGGGAATAGCGGAGAGCATCCAATATTGGCCTTTGAGCAAAGATGTTCCCTGAGCAGCATCCTGAGACAGGGCCCAACAGTGCCTCCTGGGAAACAAGCAGGCCCCTCTGTCCCCTGTCCCAGCTGCGTGTGGTGTGGTAGTTTCTGATACCCTAGTCGAGAACAAGCCCAGCACCTGCAACAACTCTAAGGGAAGTGATCTAGGGCAGCATGTTCTCTTCAAAAACCCTCAATGAAAAACAAGTCACTCCATTTCAACAGTTTGCAAACATCTCCACAAGGAGACCACTTCTTGGGGCACAGGGGCCCTGGTCAGTGGGACAGTCTGGACTTCAAGTCAGTGCTCATCACCTGCATAGATACAGAGGTCTTAATACCAACGGTTTGGGCCACACTAGACTCCCTCATGCTTCTAGAAGAAGGCACCCACACTGAGTCAATTCTGAGGCACAGTGACACCAGGGGACAGAGTCAAAGGGCCCCACCACGCTGGAAGCAGAATCGCTAGGGAAGCTGACCGGTTCATCCTTCTCCCGTAGCAGCCCAGCATTTAACCACTGTGCCACCAAAACATCTCTGATTTTTGGTAGCCTTTTACAGATCTTGGAAATGAGCTCATCCAAAGTTAAAAACCCAAGTTCTCTGGGTTGATCTGAGCATCCATCTCATTGAGTGTCCTCCCCCAGAACCCTCCCATTTCTCTGAAACAAGAGATCTACAGAACCTCAGCCATGCTCCCTTCTGCTAGTTTTGCCTGTCCACTTTGTCTTGTATTTGTATTCTATTTCCTTCTGCTTTGCGTTCAAAGATCCAGTTTCTCTCAAGCCCACCCCAGCTCTCAACAAGCTCATCTGTCAATGCCCAGGGACTGTGTCTACCCTACTGGCTCATCAGCATTTTCCTCTTTATTTTTCATAAACCAGTTCTATCACTTCCAAAGAGTTTAAGTTCCTCAAAGCAAATACAATTTTCCTCTTTGTTGTCCTAGTTGTAGTTCAGTGGTTAAAACACTCAGCAGCCAACCACAAGGTTGGGGGTTCAAACCCAAAGCTGCTCTAGGGGAGGAAGATGAGGCAGTCTGTTTCCTTAAAAACTACAGCTTTGGAAACCCTATCAGGAAGCTCCCTCTATCTTATGGGGCTTCTATGGGTCAGAATTGACTCAATGGCAGTAAGTTTGGGTTTGGGGTATCCAGTGAAGGATCAACACGGGATAGGAAGGCCCTCAATGAGATGGATGGGCACAGTGATTTCACAATGCACTCAAATATGTCCTAGATGATGAGGATGGTGCAAGATAGGGCAGGGTTCAGGTCTTTAGTTCAAAGGGTTGCTATGAGTCAGACTTGACAGCACAAAATAACAAGTGGTGCAGTTGTTAAGCAATGGATTGCTAACTAAAAAGTTGACGTTTGAACCCACTAGCAGCTCTTTATAGAAAAGATGTGGTAGTCTGCGGTCAAGACGACACTATGAGGCAGTTCTTTTAGAATCAACGTGACAGTAATGGATTACGGTCATTCCTAAAAAAACAGGGGTCATGGTACTAGGGATATTGTAGCTGATGTTAGATGGATCTTAGCTGAAAGCAGGGAATACCAGAAGAATGTCTATCTGTGTTTCATTGATTATGCAAAGGCATTTGACTGTGTGGATCATAATAAACTGTGGCTGACTCTGAGAAGAATGGGAATCCCAGAACATTTAATCGTGCTAATGAGAAACCTATACTTGGACCAAGAGGCAGTCGTCAGAACAGAACAGGGCAACACTGCATGGTTCAAAATTGGGAAGCATGTACGCCAGGGATGTGTCCTATCTCCATACCTTTTCAACCTGTATACAGAGCAGATTATCTGAGAGGCTGGGCTCTATGAGGAGAATTGTGGCGTCAGGATTGGTGGAAGATCTATTAACAATTTGCGTTATGCAGATGACACAACCCTGTTTGCCAAAACTGAGGAGGACCTCATACACTTGCTGCAGAGGGTCAAGGACTGCAGCCTTCGGTATGAACTGAGGCTCAATGTCAAGAAGACAAAGATTCTCACCACTGGACCAATTGGCAGTGTCAGGATGGATGGTGAAGAGATTGAGATTGTTCACAGCTTCAGTTTGCTTGGCTCACGGTCAGCACTCTTGGCACCGGCAGATAGGAAATCAAAAAAACGTATTGCGATGGGAAAGTCTGCTGTTAGGGATCTCTCTAAAGTACTCAAGAGCAATGGTGTCTCTCTGGAGACTAAGGTGCGCCTGATACAGGCCAAGGTCTTTGCAATCACTTGTTATGCATCAGAGAGTTGGACAATGACTAGGGAGGATAGAAGGAGAATTGATGCCTTTGAGCTGTGGTGCTGGAGAAGAGTATTGAATGTACCCTGGACTGCCAAGAAAACAAACAGATTCATCCTGGAGAGGGTTAAACCAGGCTACTCCTTGCAGGCAAGGATTCTGGGGCTTCGTCTGACATACTTTGGACATGTTGTAAGGAGAGACAGGTCCTTGGATAGGGACATCATGCTTGGTAAGGTGGAGGGACCGAGCAGGAGGGGAAGACCCTCTATCAGGTAGACTGATTCAGTGACTCGGGTAATCTGGATGGGTGTGTCAGAGGCCATGCGATTGGCACAGGATAGAGCAGGGATTAGGGCTGTTGTACATAGGGTCGCTATGAGTCGCAAATGACTCGATGGCACATAACAACAACAATGAGCACAAAGCCTTTCTTTAATTAAAAATCCAGCTGCTTGTTGTGTTCTGTAGAGTTGGAACCGACTCATACCTAACTCTTCAGTGAGTTTCCAGAGGCAGTTAATTGCACAGGAGGAGATTGTCCATCCTTCTCCTGCAGAACAGCTGGTGTATTTGAACTGTGTGCCTTTGGGATTGCAGCGTGGTTTCTTACCACTAGGCCACAAGAGCTCTCACATCCAGCTAAACAGCCCTTTCTGCATTGCACTTTAGGGCTAATTTCATTTCTTACCTTCTGGAGTATGAAGATAGGACTGCTTTTGTTTTTCTCACACTCAGAAATGTTGCTGTCGAATGCAATGCTGTAGTTGCTTGTCTCTTCCCATATTCTCCTGTAAATATACTGTGTTGTCAGAGGCATAGTCAAGCTCATAGCAAAAGCACTGAGGAAAATGGCAGGTTCTACAAAGAAGATCTTCATATTGCTTCAGTGGACAAAAGACTCCTAGAAGGAAGATGACAGGAAGTGATGTTACCTTTTTATTTCAAAGACGAGATTTACAAGGACATGAGGATGAAGCTTGATTAATTTTGTGGTTAATTTTTAAACATTTTTAAAAAAATTCCAATTCATAAGCACAAAGCATATCCTAGGGAAAAATTTTTAACTGTGGAGCCCTCAGTGGAGGCCTTAGGTGATGCAAGGAGTTGAAGCACTCTTCTATAACATGTAGCTACTAATAGAACTGTTGGAAATTCGAGTCCACCCAAAGGCACCCTGAAGGAAACAGCTGGCTAATTACTTAAAAACAAATAAAAAACCCCAACCACTGAAAAACCTATGTGGTACAACAAAGAAAGAAGAGTCAGAAACAGGAGGAGGATATAGAGTATGGATAATTATCTGCCTGAGTAACTGCTTCCATTGCCATAAGTCCAGAAACACTGCTTGATGCCCATCTACCATTACTGAATATTTTAAGCAAAGATTCTGTGGAAGAACACTGATCAAAAGGGGGAGGACTGCAAAATAGAACTTCATATTTTCATGAAATGTAGACCTTCTGCAGCCATTGATGCTGGGTGAACCCCAAAAACCATTGCCCTGAGATAAACGTTAAAGCACAAATATCTTCGGAATTCTTCTATAAAGCAAGCAGTGGTTTGTTTTCACTAGTCAAGAATGTCCATCTTGAGCATTGAGCTTTTTAAGAACTGCCTACAGTGCACCATGGACGGCCAAAAGGACAAACAAATACATCTTGGAGAGGGTGCAGCCAGAGTGCTCTTTGGAGGCAAGAATGATGAAGCTGCACCTCACATACGTTGGCGTGTTGCTAGGATGGGCTATTCCTTGGAGAAGGACAAGGTGATAGGAAGGGTGAAGGGTCCGTGAAGGAGAGGAAGACCCTTAACCAGTTGGACTGATACAGTGACTGCTGCGATGGGCTCTTGTGTGTCAGGAAGTATGAGGATGGCACAGGACAGAACAGGGTTCAGATCTTTTGTTCATAGTGTCGCTAGGAGTCATACTCAACTCAATGGCATCGAACAACAACAACAAAAGTATGTGAATGAAAAAACTGCTATGATTTGTAAACTCCCACTCAAATAAACAATACATAAAAGGGAGGAAGGCTGTCTATATGAGGTGAATGAGCTATGGTAGTATAAATAGCACATCAGTCATTGTATTCCTAACCGGAAGGTTGATAATTTGGATCCTCTAGCTGCTCCACTAGTAGGAAGATGGGCAATCTCCTCCTGTAAAGATTTACAGCATTGGGAACCCAATGGAAGGCTGCTATAAATGGAAAGCAGTATGTTATTTGGGATAAAAGTGATAATAGCCATTCCAAAGAGTAGACAGGAAACACAAGGGACAATTGATGAGAAACAACTGGGATAGGAGGGTGAGAATGGACTCACAACTCAAAGAAGGTAATCAATTTACGGAACAGTGCCTAAGGCAATCGCTGAATTGGGGTATGTTCTGCTGTGTATCTTGTCAAGAACAGAAAATAAAATGATGATAATAAAAAAGATAAAATTCTGTGCGTGGAGCAAAACTGGGAGTACAGCACTGCAAACAGTCCTACTCTGTACCAGGAAGCCGGTTGGAGGACTCTGTAACCTGAGATGGTCTATTTTTTCCATTAGAATTCAAACCGCAAACTCTGACCACCTAGGTTACCCAGGGACTGCTGGAAGGTTCCCACACTGTGTCTCGCCGCCAGCCACTTTCCCTAAGGTAAATAAACAAGGAGGCTCCTCATGGGTCACAGCGTTGTGTAATTGTTTGCTATTACTCATTACAATAGCAGCTCACAATCTAAAAGGGGATTTTTTTCTCTCTCTCTTTTAAACTCACCCCACGATTACAATCCTCCTGCCAGGTTAGGCGCAGGGTCTGAGCATTGCCCGGGGCAGGATATTTGCGGCCTGTCTTCCTCTCTTCCTCGGATGCCCTGCGCTCCCGCAGCGACCCGGGCTGCCGGCCAAGCTCAGCGGGGAACACTGGCGGTAGCCGCGCGGAAAGGGGCTGAGACGGCTCCGCGGGGCCAGCGCCGCGCAGGGGACAGGTGTACGCGGCCAGAGCAGCCCTTTGCTTCTTCAGGCTCGGCCTCCGCGAGCTCGAAGGGCGGTAGAATGCCGGCGGGCCGCGGGGCTGTCAGTCACTCCGTGGGCTGGTCGGCCGGGCCATCGCCGGGAGGTGACTGCAGCCGCCCCCGGGAGGTGGCAGAGCTGCTGGGCCTCGGGCCAAAGCAGAGCCCTGCCCCGCCCCGCCCGCCGGCTGAGTCTCGCCGAGCTCTGCCCAGTCCTTAGTGCCCCGCCTCCTATCTACACCCTGTCTCTTCATTTGCAAAGCTCCTTCTCGTCAACACTCAACCCAAACCCTTCAATGCCGAGCCCCGCCCCGCCCAGGCCTCCGAGCTCCGCCCCTCTAGTGGAGACCCGCCCATCCCCTTTAGAGTTGCGTTCCTCCTGGGCATAGCCACGCCCCACAGCTCATAGCCCCGCCCCAAGATCCTCCTCCCCGCCCCGGGCTATTTGTGGTTGGTCAGACAGAAGTGAAAGCTCAGTGTTTACTCAGTGTAGAAGGAGGTGCTTTAAGGTGGCGTCTTGGGGTTCCTTTAAGACCTCCCAAGTCTCAGTTTCTGGGTCCAAGTTTTTCGGTAGCCTACAGTTGGAACGTAACGCATTTATTTATCCGACGGCTTCTGGCATCATCCTAGTCTGCCCTTGAAAAAGTGTCCTTCAGAGAAAGAAAGGGGAGGTCCTTGAAAAGGGGGTGCTTTGTGGTAGTGTCATTGTGGTCAGGACCTAAGGTAGATTATTGCCTTTCTGTGCACCTCCAGGTTTTAATTGGCCAAGTGTAGGTAATGCACAGACTCAGAGGACTGTTGTAATCGAACACTCCTCATGTGGATACTGCACAGCCCCTGGGCATCAGGGGAGCTCCAGTCAGGCCCACCAGGAACCCGCCATTAGGCTTTGCAGGGATCCACACCATGGGGAAAAGAGGGGCTTCTCAGTAAGAAAGTAACATATTTCCAAAAGGCCTGTGTTCACTGATTTAGGGGAACCCCTGGGTTGGGCAAAGGGCTTAAGCATTTAGTCTAATTGAAAGGCTGGATGTTAAAAACCACCCAGAAGTCCCTCTCAAGAAAGGTCTGGTGATCAACTTCTAAAAACTCCAATCTTTGAAAGTCCCATGAAGCACAGATTTAAATCTCACACGTATTTTATTAACATTTTTAAAAGGTCAAATATGAACTGGAAAACTAAACTGTTACACAGATTTCTGCGAATATAGAATGTTTATAAGCCCCTTGCAATCACCTCTTCAGTTTCTGTTTCTGTAGGATCTAAGTTATCTCCTGTGATGGGCTTGGGTGAGTTGTTGTTTTGTTGTTATGTGTCATAGAATACAACTTATAACACCTTCCGAACAACAACAGATCTGAACCCTGTCCTATGCCTTCCTCATTCTCATCATCATCACTGATAAACTTGAAACCATTGTGGGAGTTATTGTGTTAATTAATCTCATTGAGGATCTTCCTCTGTTTCACTGACCCCTCCACCTTTCCAAGCATGATCAAGCTTTGCCATGCTTACCTCTGAGGAGCATTCTAGCTCTTTCTCTCTCCATGACGTATTTTTTTGGAGGCTCTGTGGTAAAAGACTACACTGCATTCGCAAAGGCACAAAGTTCAAATCTACCAGCGGCTCTGTGGGAAGAAGGATAGGCCATCTCTTCCTATACAATTTAACTGCCTCTGAAAACGTGCTGGAGGGCTGACTATTGATGAATTCCAACTCAAGGGCACACAACAACACCTTAGGTGAGAGTTGGAATAAATTTGACGACAACTGGTTTTTGGTTTAAGAAAACAGGACTTTGGCTGTAGATTGGACACTGTGAGGGAGCAGGGCCCATTCATACTATGATTGTTGTTGTTGTTGTTATGTACCATCGAGTCAGTTGAGACTCATAGTGACTGTATGTATAAGAGCCCTAAACGCTGCTCTATCTTGTGCCAACCTTGCGGTCTCCAACACACTCATTCCCACCACCCCAATCACAGAACCAATCCATCTCATCGAGGGGCTTTGAGAATCTTAATATTTAAGTGAGACTAAACAGAAGCTACAGCTACCATTAATAAGGAGGCAGTAGTCAGTCATATTAGCTATTTTTTTAAAAAATCAGGTTTTTTGGTTTTAGATTTTGCCTGTGTTTCACCTTCCACCTTAAACACAGTAAAATATTATTTTAAAACCCAACAAACCACACAGGCTAGGCTGGTGAGTCAGCTCAATCCCAAGGTTTATCTTGTTGGTTTATCAGGGGAGGATGAGTTAGAATCACAGTCATGATGCTACGGTACACCTTCTGACCTTGACCAGAGCCATCCTTTGGGAGAAATGACTGTTTACTTTTACATGAAAATATCTGGTCCTAGAGCTGCAATATCTCCTCGTTCAGTTGTTCCATTGCTACAGCTAACATGTGCCTTCAGGTTTCATGAGTTTGTTTGGATTTCAACAATACTTTCAACCTTTAGCCCTGAGATTCAAACTTCCTGTTTTCTGCAGAAGGCTCACCAAGGCAGAAGTTGAAACCTCAGGCCAACGAACCAACCAGATGTTTCACTTTCTCTTCTGTTGTCAAGCAGTAAACCGAATTCAATGAGCACATCTGGAGGTGGGAGATGGAGTGGGTAGAGAGATGAGGAGAGGGTAAAGGGGTGTGGGATTGGAGTTGGTAGGTAGAGAGTGAGGGTGAGTGGGTTTTTTGTCCAAGAAAGAGAGCTCTCAGAGAATGAAGAAATGACTTTTTTTTTATCATTAGTGAGATGAAAGTTCAAATTTGATGTATTTGCCTAGTGATTAAAACAAAACAAAAACCCAAGCACTCCACTATCAGATTGATTAAGGCTCACAGTAACCCTATCAGACAGAGCAGAATTATAC